TGGAACTCCAGCATCCTTTGTCCCTGCCCCAGAAAACACAGCAGTGGCCTTCCCCAGGGGACCTCCACAGTCTCCTGTTAAGGACTGAACATTTATCTGCCTGATGAGTGATTCCTGATTCCCCAGAGGCTATAATTTGGAGAATTGAATTGACAGTTGATGGTAAACAGTTCAAGCTTAGAAATACCGATTTACTGTCATCAGTGACTATAGACATAATTTACAATTTGACTTGATGAGTATTTTCTTCTCTAACTTCATTTGGCTGGAGAGTGATTGCATGAGAGTGGTAATTTCATCTTTTCTACCTCTTTTCACAATGTGCTCTCCAGAAAGCCTTCTGGTCACCTCTTTACAAATCAGAGTAAATGGAATGGTGGCCCGCTGTCCATGTGGTAAGACTCAGATCCTGCCTTGACGGCAAGTTGCCCCTGAGCCATGGCCATCCCGATTTTGTTCTGTTGACAAAGTAATTAAATTGAAATGAAATTGTATGTAATCGGGGCCTTTAATAAGAAAATACATTATACATGTAAAGGAAAGACTGAGTGTTTGGTGACAGAAAATTGTGTTCTGCTCAAGTGTACTGTTGATTTTAATTTGGACAGGGCACTCCAGTCCTCTATACTGTGAAGTAAACAAGCCCACCATGCTAGGTAAAATCCATTCCTCCCCAAGTTGATTTTGGTCATGGTGTATTATCATAACAATAGTAACCCTGAGTAAGAATTCTACCTTCTCCACCCACAGATATGGACATACTGGCCAGAACTCCTATGCCAGCCCTTCTGTGCTAATTTGACACTTCTTTTGTGCTTTTCAAGAACCCGCCCAAAAGCAAGATTGTGGTTGCAATCTCTTGACTGGCAGCACTATTTGGGGAGGTTATAGAAACTAGAGGAGATGGGATAAGAGCCTAGGTGGTGGAGCATCATGGAACACATGGAACAGGACATAGTTGTCTCCAGAATTGGAAAAAGTAACTTCTACAAAGAGCCCAATGCAATCAAATCCAGCATGGACATGGACCAGCTCCCCTGGTGCAGTGAATTAGTTCCTAGACAATGAAATAGGGGCTCAGACCAAGACACAAGGGGGGTGGGCCTAGGCCCTATCCCAAAGGATACGATAGACTCTGATGACACCCTATGGAAGGCATCACCATCCAGGGGGAGCAAAAAGGATATGTGATAGATAGGGTTTTAGTTGGGGCAAGGTGGTAGGGGAGGACGGGAGGGAGAAGGGAACTGGGAACTGGGATTGTCATGTGAAACAATCTTGTTTCTAATTCAAATTTTAAAAATCTGGAGGAAAAAAGAAATAGGGGCTCAGATGCCCATGGCACCTGTTAACGGCAGCAAAAAGGCTAGAACCTACATCTTCCCTATTTCAGAGTAGCTTCTGCTATAAAGGTCTGCTCTCCATCATATAAAAACTATAGCTGCTTTTTAAAAATGATAGTCAAATTAGCATAGAATAAGACTTTTCAAATAATATGCATTAGGTGTGGTATGTTGTTTTAATTAACTGGTCTGAAGCAAAACTGGCAAGGGACCCTGAGAAACAAGCTTTGTGAGACAATGGAAACAACACCAATTGCACTGTGACTAGAGTACAACGCCAGGGATTGCTGGTGATGGGATCCGGTGGAAGACGTCCATTCTTTTCCATGTACAGACATGACCCTGGCTGCAAGATGAGAGGTGAGCTAATGTGAACTGAAGGGAGGTACCGGGTTTCACACCCCAAGCGGGTGTCCTCTAAAGGCCAAGGTCTGGGTGGGACCTGAGCCCTTTCTGGGTTTACGTGGCAATGTTAGATGAGGCAAGACCTCCCTGCACTGCTCAGGAATCCAGGTTTCTGATAGCCCCTTTCAGTTGGCAAGAGGAAAGTTAGCACTTAACGTTTCTCTTGCTCATTGTACCGGTGTGGTGTCCTGTAGGATTCTGTTGCATTTATATTATTAGACATAAGAATTCTGAAATGGAGAAGTTTAAAAATCCAACAATCCAGCATGGATAGAAAAAGGGTCATGAGGTCCCAACGCATCTGAGAGCTATTAGCAGTTGGTGGCTGTTTCAGGAGCGAGAAAGAGAGACAGGAAGAGAGAGAGACACAGAGACACAGAGAGAGACACACACAGAGAGACAGAGAGAAAGATAGAGAATAAGAGAGACAGAGACAGAGAGATAGAGAATGAGAGAGACAGAGACAGAGGGACAGAGCCATAGATAGATAGATAGATAGATAGATAGATAGATAGATAGATAGATAGATAGATAGAGTCCTTTTCTTTGGAGGTGTGGCCTCTCAGAGAGTACCCACACTCCAGTGGATGGCTGTAGGTATGTGCACATACAAGCAGCACTAATTGAACTTGGGGAACTATAAAAGGAAAAAGGAAATGAAGATGATATGAATTTTAGAGAAGGACATGGGAAGGTCTTGGAGAAGTTGGAGGGGGCACAGTGAAATAAATATGATAAAATAAATAGTAAAAACATATGAAAGTAGCAGATGAAAATTTAAAAATTCCTGTGAAAATATTTTATTCTTTGTCTGAACAATGAATTAGATTTAAATGTCTATTGTTTGCCCAGTTCACTAAAGAGAGGAGGCTCACGCATAACCATAAGTAAGTTTACATTTTAAACATAATATCAGATCTATCTAAGTTGTATTTTCTTGCTGGGTGGTGGTGGCACACACCTTTAATCCCAGCAGATGGATCTCTGACTTTGAGGCCAGACTGGTCTACAGAGTGAGTTCCAGGACAGCCAGGGCTACACGAGAAACCCTGTCTCAAGGGAGGAAATGAAAGTAACCCCCCATCACAAAAGTTACATAAAATATAGCCAGAACTTCTTTGTATTCTTACATTACAAATGTTGGGGCTCGGGATGCCATAGTTTGATTGACAGAGCATTGAAATGTACTCAATGAACTCTGGAGCTCCTGCAGAGAGCACTCTTTAAAAGAACAAGTCTTAGAGGAAGTGTATGGCTATTGCATTAGCTCCAGTAAGAAGAGATGGCTTGGCTGGAGCTCCCAAATGGAGCTAAGTTGTCTATGGGTCATCTGGGAAGGTGCCGGAGTTCTCTGAGCTCTCTAAGAAAACATGAAGGTCCCTAAGAGAAAGAAGGAATCATTGAGCTGAGTAAGTGAGCACCTGATTTTGGTTTTTCAAAGCCATCCATAAGGAGCTAGCGTAGCCGGCATTAGTGGGAAGGTGGTATAGCTAATTGATGCCTGGTGTGGGGAACACTTGGACCTGAGTCTGGCTTTCCGAGCCTGTGCCTAAATTCACAGCAATTCTTTAATATAACGAAAAAGACATTTACTTTTACATAACACATGAATTTTATCTTCCATGTTTTTCAGTCCACTTTTTTAAAAAGTTGGTCATTCGTCTACATTTTGGATTTAAAATACAGACTGTAACTTACATTTGGTTGTTAAATAAGGCTGAGAGTGGGAGAGAAAAATCACTATATTTGATTCTCTGTTTTTTGCTCATGGCATCTGTATCCCCAGGAGGGACTGGCTTGGGGTATAGCACACTTCATTACAGAATATGGAGAGAAGGGCCGTGTCAATAGGGCCCCACGTGTGGATCTGAGTTCATTCTAGAGGTGGTCTCGGGAAGCAGGATGAGGGCCTGGGGTGGCAGGAGAGACACTGTCAATGAATGACAGAATGAGCTGTCCTGGGGTCCTCTGAAGGATACATGGAAACCAAGGCAGGTGGACACGGGAGCTCCCTGTCTGAGACCCAAGGACTGGATGTGGAAAGGAACAAGCTATAGTGATTATCCAGGAAGTAGACGGGGCAGGCAGTCTCGGCAATTAGTGTTTGGCCTTTAAAAGTGGAAAAGGGGCCAGGTGTTGGTGGCGCATACCTTTAATCCCAGCACTCGGGAGGCAGAGGCAGGGGAATTTCTGTGAGTTCGAGGCCAGCCTGGTCTACAGAGCAAGTGCCAGGATAGGCTCCAAAGCTACACAGGGAAACCCTGTCTCAGAAAAAAAAAAAAAAGTGGAAAAAGACATTTAAAGAAAATACATGTGTTTTAAAACTCAAGCTTTTATTGAAACTCACTTTTACTAAGTTTCAACACTGTGATCACCAGTCTGTTCACCAAGAGCTGAGGGCCTACGCTGGAGCCTGCAATGTGCCAAGAAACATCAGTTGTTAAGAGCCATGGCTAGGGGCTGATACAAACACAGGGGAGTCTACTGATTGTTTTAAATGTGGTAGATTAACGTTTAAATCAGTCCATGTTGACTTTAAACTTTCTATAATTGCCCTTTTGTGATTCTTTTCCCCAGAAATAATTATCTTCCTTGTAGAGGTTGAAAAAGTGCCACTCTGACTAAAACAGGTTTATATGGAAGTCAGTGCTGGGTGGTTGGCCTGCTAGTGTTTGATTCTACCACGTTCACTGAGAGCAGAAACTGCAAACACACAGGAAGCTCATGCCCTATGGTGTCCTTGTGCTCGGTAGCTTCTCCTGGACAGTGCTCAGCAGAAACTCATACATCCACCTCTGTTTTTATGATCGCTTACAGTCACTGGGGGAGACAGTGTTTATCATAGAGGAAATGAAATATTGGAAAACGTTTGACTTCCTATTCAGGAGTGTGGGATATTAGCTGCCTTTCCCAAGTACAATAACACTTGTGCTTTATCACACACATGAACAAGAAGGTAAAATGAACGTTTTTTATCTCACATCGTCCATTGGTCTTTCGGATTTTTAATATTATTCCTGCTTTTCTGTTTTAGAATCAAAATAGATGAATAATATCCTTGGGGAAATAACTACACCTTCTTTTATTATCCATGCGGAGAACTCTTATTTAGAATTCAATAAATAAGAATGTAATAACATGGCCCGACCTTAGGAGCGAAATTTTCTGTCTTCAGGACAGCTTGCCTTCCTCACCAGGTGGCCTCTCCCATCACTGTTTGAAATGTATTGCCCTCTCTTCCCTTCCTCGCAGGAGCGGCTTCTACTTTCCTTGCTGCCGGCTCACATAGCCATGGAGATGAAGGCTGAGATCATCCAGAGGCTGCAGGGCCCCAAGGCAGGCCAGATGGAAAACACTAACAACTTTCATAACCTGTATGTCAAACGGCACACCAACGTGAGGTACGGTGCACTGCACAAGCCCTCAGCAGCACTGGGAGTCAGTGTCTGTCTGGGAGCATCTTCCCTGGGGAGTCACATCATACAGTAACTACCCCTCATTTGATGGTAGAGTGAGACTACTCCTCTTACCCTTCTGATGCCACTCGGAACCTTCAAGCTGAAATGGGATAATTCAGTCTGCTTCATTCACTGGGTTGATATGGAGTTTGTAGACTTGCTCTCTGTGGCTGATAGGAACAGAGAATGAGAGGCGGGTGTCGGGGTCTTCCCACAGTCAGATCACAATATAATCAGTATGATTGTCCATAAGCATTTTAGACACAGTGGTCAATCCTTCCAGATGTGTTCCCTGGCAACAGAGCCTCTGTGAAGCCGGCATTCTGGGGAGACTGGGATACTGGAATTCAGTGTCTGACCAACCAGTGACAATGGCCCAGGGGCCTGATGCAGCTCTTAGTATTTCTCATGATGGTAACTGCTTTGTCAGGACAGATGTTGCATTATGTATATCCTCCAGAGACTCATTCCTAGAATTACAGTGTTCAGAAACCAGTGAGCTAACACTGGGATTCTAGCCAGGAAGGAAGATGTGTGGAACATTGATTGCCCCTGAATGTAGAAGGGAAGCCATAAGGCCCCTCACTTCAGGCCGAAAGGAAGACTCATTCCTTTGTCCCCATCCACAAGCCCCCACATGGCTGGTGTTTCTTTCATGTCCTATCCATTCCAGGTACCTCTTTAGGGAGTTGGCTCTCTCACCCATTGATTGTGTTGATGCCAGGCTCTCTGTTCATATTGGCAATCCCCATAACCCTCTTCACACATACCTGGCTGCATCTGTTTTGCTTTAGTTCTCAAGGAAGATTCTTAATTCATACTTCAGTATATCCGGGATCTAATTGGACATCTGCTAGAAGTGGACCGTAGCCT